TCATAGGGCATACCAGCTAATGCATGGGCTTAAGTGAAAACAAAAGGCTAAGTGGAAGCATTAAATGTGTTACTACACGTCCAGTGCTAATACTCTCGTTGCCGCTAAAGCGCAAACGTCTTCGCCTGTGTCGCCTGCGTGGTCTGAATGAAGGAGAGTGTGCGTGTTCTCTAACTACTTTACCCACGATGATCTCTTCAGTCACTTGTTACCCACATCGTCCACTCTTAAAATGAACTACCTTTCTATCTTTTATTCAAGTTCCGTTGAATCCCAATTCTGTGGGATTCCGGGAGTTACGTTTTCCAAGAAATGGAACCTATCGTTAATGAGAAGTCACAGAGAAAAAAAAAAAAACAAATCAGGCTGGCTTCTCTCCTCCCAACAACTCAGTTTGATTAGGTCGGTGGTTTAATGGCTTTAACATCAAATGCTCTGCGTCAGCCTTCTGCCTGAGCTAGTTTACTTACCAACGGTTAAGGCAGCTTGGTTTCTCCTGAAGTCATTTTTAATCACTGGCTTGGCAGTCTCAGGTTTTGTGTTTTTTTCATAGTGCTATTTTCCCGTAATTAGGATAAAGTTTGAACTCGGTTATGACAGTTCCCTAAAAATACCAGTGGAAGCAGTTGGAGGGAGCAGACAGCCGAGTTCTGTTTAGACACGCCAACCGTGGGGTGCCTCTGAGTCACCCGCCTGGAGATGCCCATGGCTGAGGTTGGGGGCCTGGGAGTGGGGATTCCAGGGCCACGAGCATTTGGGTGGTGAGTAGCCGAAGCCTCAGAGTCACCTGCGGTTTGCGAAGTAAGAAAATAAAGGGGCTCAGGACGCAGCCCCAAGGAAGACGGTTTCCCAGGGGCCAATAACGAACGTAAATTGTATTTGTCCAGAACAACAACACATCTTCCATTAAGCAGTGTTTGTTGAAGCCCATTATGCGTGCACACACTTTGTGGCCCATGAACTCGGCCCGGGACAGCAACGCAGGAAACACGGAAGCTCTCAAGTGCAGGTTTCGGGGGCCACCCGGCCACCGTGCAGCCATGCCACTGGGCTACCCCGTGGTGTGCGTACGGGTCTGTAGTCATGAACACGAGCCACTTTTTAAGAGAGCAGATAAAAATGAAACCCACATATGAAACGTGAGACACGCAAGTGTTGCATTAATCCCCTCACGTTCCCCAGGCTGCTACCTGAGTAAGCTATAATAACCCTGTCTTTGAACCTGCGTCTGTGGGCTAACAGCCTGTTCTGAAAGGCTTTGTTCCCCATATACACACCCTCCACACCCTCCCTCCAAAAAGATGAAAGGAAGAGCAATGTTTTAACGGTAGTAAATCCCTCTACCTCCCCCCGACACACATGAACCGCTGTCTGGCGAACCGCCAGAGGCTGGGTGTGTGGGTGTGTGCGGGCAGCAGCTGGGGGCGTGACCTTGGATGGGAGTCACTGCGGCCGTCCCTGCTCGTGTTTCCGGACAGCAGCACGTCCCAACGCTGACCCGCGGCACTCGGGGATCGGCCAAGGCTCCGCTATTACTCACCGCTCAGCTCCCCATTTGGAGGCCCCAGCACCCCGCTTGTCCAACAAGGAAAGAGCCTCGGGAAATGGCCCAAGAGAGGAGTCACAGGTGGGAAAAGCGGGTGACACTCCAGGGACGAAAATGGAGAACGTGTGGACACATCTGGCTTAAGCCCACTGATTTCCCCCTCTTTCCGTCCTGGTTTTGGTTAACTTCAGAGATGCCACAAGGAGGCGGAGGTTAGTCTAGAGACCCGTGATCACGGTCAAGCGTGGGTACCCCCGACCACCAGGTGCCCGATTACAGAAGGTCATCTGCCACCACAACGCAGCAGATCAATTCAGCAGCCTCCTGAAAGAATAACTCCCCCCGACCGAGGGATTTCAGGCTCGAACTGCAAAGCTCCCCAACTCCAGGAGTTCTACTATGCAACATAGTATGTTCAAAGGAGAGAAACTACACAGTCACCTCTGTGTCTGAAAAAGTAACGGCAAAAACTGGATTTCTATGCAACTCTAATAAAACACAAACTGACAAAAATCCGGATGGAGGAATAAAAAGACAATGGCCAGGAGACCTAAAAGACACGGTCCGGGAATAAGGCGGATGTATGTGTCAGCTTAGGCTGCTGTGACAAATGGCCCAGATGGGGTAACCTGACTTCTCATAGTTCCAGAGGCTGACAAGTTCAGTATCAAAGTGCTGGCCTCTTCAGCCCCTGGCTTGCAGATGGCCGCCTTGTCATTGTGTCCTCACACGGCAGAGAGAGAGAGTTCTGATGTGTCTTTCTCTTCTTGTAAGGAGAAGTCTGGTATTTCTTACAAAACTCAGCACACAAATACCCTGTGAGCCACACTCCTCCTAGGTATTCACCTAACACAAATTAAAATGTATGTCCACCAAAACGTGGATGAGAATATCCTTAGGACCTTTCTCCAAATAGTCAAAAGATGCAAACTACGTAGGCATCCATCAACAGAAGAGTGGGTAACCAACCGGTATGGTTATACTGTGGAACATTCTTCAGCAAAAAAGCGCAGTGGTCTATCGATACAGGCACAGCACAAATAAATCTCAAAAGCGTTATGCTAAGTGAAAGAAGCCAGCCGTAAGTGGCTATGTGCTGTAGGATTTCATTTCTATGAAGTTCCAGAACACATAAAACAAGTCCATGGTAGAAAAAAGAACAAAACAAAACAAAACAAAACAGAACAGTGGTTGCCCGAGGAGGAAGTGAGTTGCCTAAGAAGCTGCATGATGGAACTTTCTAGAGTGATAGGAATGTTCTGTGCCTGGACATGGGGTTTGCACCGCAGAGATTTTTTGGCATTCGCTGGACCTTATTAATGGGATACTTAAGATCTGCGTGTTTCATTGTATGTAAGTTTTTTTTTTTAATGTCTATTTATACTCAAGAGAGAGACAGACAGAGACAGAGTGTGAGTGGGGAAGGGTCAGAGAGGGAGAGAGAGGGGAAACACAGAATCTGAAGCAGGCTCCAGGTTCTGAGCCATCAGCACAGAGCCTGACACGGGGCTCGAACTCACAAACCGAGAGCTGAAGTCGGACGCTTAACCGCCTGAGCCACCCAGGCACCCCGTAAGTTTTAACTCCAAAAGAAGAAACAAGACTAGGACACAGTCACTGAACTCTTGTCAATGATTTCCCCGCTGCAATATTTACGTACAGATACACAAATACCTATAACTGATCATGAAACACATTAAACAAATAAGTTGGATTGATGATGGAGAGACGGGTGATAAGGTTAGCACAGTGAAGTGTATGTAAACGGCAGGGTCTGGTTGGTGGGTATATGGATCCCGTGTTCATCGTCAGATCCTTTCTGCTTTTCCATATGCTTGAAATTTTTCCTAATAAAATGTCAGGGAAGAAAAGAGCATCTCAAAGCATGAAGAAAATGGTCCTTGACACAACAGTTCAATGTAGATGTTAATTTCCACCAACTTTATCCTACAGTTCATTGTAATTCCAATCAAAAACACCATCGGAATTCTTCAAGGAAATTGGGGTGTTCTTTAAGACCTGATACAAACACCTTAAAATTACTGGTGACTACTGATAAGTGACAGAAAAATTTTAATTTCTATGTGATCAACTAAAAATCACGAAGGAACAATGTGAGGGCAGTGGCCAAAGACAAGGAGACAGGTGACAGAGTGGAAACATGAGTGTCCAGAAACAGCGAGCAAACGTCACTGGTGGCAGGGAAAATAAAGTAGTCGATACCAGTCTTTCTCCTTCAGAGTGGCAACAACGAAGAGATTTATGGGAATCACCTTGGAAGTTAGGGAGAAACGGGTCCTCCCTTCGTGGCAGGGAAGGAACCCGCACACACCTACTCGGCAAGATCACCGATCAAAGGTGATCCTGTGCCCCTGCGTGTCTACGCTTCAGAACGTCCCCCAGAGAAACACCAGCCAGCCTCGGGACACACACAGGGAGGCCGCGGTGGATGTGGGTCAAGGGAAATGCTGCTCATCACTGTGGGAATATCACACGCTTCTCCCGGGACAGAGAGAGGGAGAAGGACAACCCGGGAAGTTTAAAATATACTGACGTCCTGGGCATCAAACATGTCCAGTGTAATATCCTTTATGTAAAAAAGTGCACGGCAGCCAGAGGAAACCACTCTCCAGATACACGCGTGTGCTAAATGCTCAGAGAGGCCTTATCTGGCACCCACCCAGTGGGAGAGATGATCCTGGGGGCCGGGCTGGGGGTGGGCCGGGGAAACTTTCACTGGACCAGAATGGCCTGAATGGTTGATCCTTCATTAAACGCATCCTTAATTAAAATGGATCCTTAATTAAAAATGAGAAAAAAATAAATGCAAAAATATTGCTGAAATTTTTATATAAAATGGGACTATAGTTGATATTTACATGTTTAAGAATTACATTATGATTACATATAAATTATATTTTGTATCTTATTTCCCAATAGTGTCTGTTTGCGTTATAGAATGTTTATATAAAGTTTACAAGTATAAAAAAATAAGTCCACTTTGAAATCACACACATTTTCTCCAAAGACTCACAGCTGTGCCCCGGACGATGGCCACACGCATCAAACACCACAGCAGGTGACGCGGTTGGGGGCGGTGCTGGGATTTCCGTGGGAATGGCCTCCCCATTTCCCAATGTGCTCGGGACGCCCGGGTCCTGGGTGGCCCCAGCAACCTGGCCTGTACTCCCACACACGCCCTCCAGCCTTGTAGGGTCACGGTCACGGAAAGGAACGAGCAACCGTTGCTCTGAGACATTCCTCCCTCACCCTGAGCCACGGAAAACAGAAGTGTTCCGGCCCAAGGCCAGCACGTCGCCATCTTGTGTGAAGTCCAGCCAGCGTCCAGCAAATTCGGCAAAGACATGTGCTTGTTGGATTGAAAAACCCGGATTCTTACATAACGGAAACCCTCAGGGAATGAGAAAATGGTTCGAGGAAAACAGATACTTACTGAAAGTTATGATTTGGGCTGTGTGTTGGACCTAAAAAGGAAAAAAAAAAAAAAGATAGGCTATTAATGCTTTATAATTTGGAATAAATCTTTTTTCCAAACCAGCCAATGGTAAAGGCAGCCACAGCCCAATGCACTCATTTGTGGTGAGCCGTCCTCGGGCCCCGGGCTTTGCTGCTGCCCAAGATTATACGGCAGGGACGATGAAAAACCACAAAATATGGAAGAGACGCTCTCTGTGTGTGCAGAAACGTCTAGAGGGATTTTTGGGGTTTTCGCTGTCTTCCCTCTCTCTCTCTCAGCTCATCCAACCTTGACTCACAAGATCTGGTTACTAACAGGGGCCCAGATGGTCTGGAGCCTGTGTGACAGGGCTGGGGCACCCGTGGGGACCATCTCACAACTGGGATGAATGAGAGAGGAAGCGTCCCCTCCAGTCGTGTGATTTCCCCGCCACCTCTGATGGGCACAAGTGTGTGGAACCATCAATGCGCTCCGCTCTGGGTTCTGCCTCTCAGCCGGGCCCGGGCTTCTGTGGGTGTCCGTGTCCCCATCTCGGTGCGCGAGGCTGGCCTCCCCCACCCGGCGCACGGCCTTCCCCCTACGCCTCGAAGCTCACCTTTGTGTCTGGGGGTATTTTCTGCACTCCAGGTTTACAGACCATTCCATCTGTGTCTGTTTTCCTTTATGACTAGTAAATGGCTAACAGGTTAAGCCGGGACCTCGTGCACAATGGGAAAGGCCCCGGGGAAATGGTTTTACGGATTTCCTCTCTGCTGGCTCGTGCGTGTTCGGTTTCAGGCTGCAAAGTAATCTCCTGTTCCGTGGCTGCGAGCGCTGCTGGCTGATAACCACACGCCTGGGCCGCCCCGACTCACCGAGCCGCACGAACAGGACGCCGGTGGCGGTAATGGTCTTCACCCCGTTAGTGGCCACGCACTGGTAGTAGCCCGTGTCTGTCGTGTCTAGATCTTGGATGCGCAGCCGAGAACCGTACTCCGTCTTGCGGATGATGACGCGCCTCGGCTCCTGCACGACCGGGGCATCATTCTTCAGCCACCGCACGGTGGGGGGCGGGTTTCCGGCCACCTTGCAGTGCAGGATGGCCGTCTGGCCTTGCACTATGGTGATGTTGTTCACCGGCTCCAGAAAATTCAGAAAGTAGCCTGCAGGGGAGAGAGCAGTCACAAAACAGCAAAGCTGAACGAGGGCTGGAAGAAAGGGCTGCCTGCGAGGAAGCCTTCCATTTTCTCTCATAAATACAGTCCGTTCCTGTCACTGGTGGGGATTACATTCTAGAATGTTCTGAGAGACATGCATCAGCAAACACTGAACCACCGCTCCCGGGGAAATACAGCGTCAGGTTCCTTCGAGCCTCTGGTCGCAGTATTTTCATCAATCGCGGCATAACCTCATTTTCTGTGTATTTCCGCTTAAAAATGCCTTATTAACACGTACTGTTGATTCACTGACATCGAGCCCACGGCTGACGCTGCTGTTAACTCATGCCTGAAAGAAGCTTATCTAACATGTGGTTTCCTACCTCGAGGCACATCACAGCCTTCTGGTGTTTAGGAACGCTAGGCCGCCCTTCAGCACTGTCCCCGGGGGGATTTTGAACTGCAAAATCACCAGGGTGCCTGGGTGGCTCAGTCGGTTGAGTGTCCTGTTTCGGCTCAGGTCATGATCTCACAGTTCATGGGTTCGAGCCGCACGTCGGGCTCTGTGCTGACAGCTCAGAGCCTGGAGCCTGCTTCGGATTCTGTGGCTCCCTCCATCTCTGCCCCTCCCCTACTTGCACTCTCTCTCTCTCTCTCTCTCTCTTAAAATGAATAAGCGTTTAAAAAAACTAAGCTGCGAAATCACCAAAACAAAGCACAAAAGTGCAGGGGAAAAAAAGACTATATAGACCCCAAAAAGTACCCTTGTTTACAGTATAAGCTGGGACAATTAGATGGGTGTCGCCTTCTTGGGCCTCAGCTAGGAACGTGTGCATTGGGCAACTCTAAATGTTCACGGCTCTGGGCACGCCTAAATGCCCCCAGTGCACCAGGAGTACTGATTTGGGGTTACACGTACACGTTAGGCAGTGGGTGAACTCGAAAATACGGAACCCGTAAATGAAGATCAGCCGTGTTTCTCTCTGCAAACGCTAGATCTTAATCCAACCTCAGGGACTCGTGATGTAATTCGCACTCGGAAAGGCCATCCCCCCTTCCGGCCACAGCACCTTAAAGCTTTGATGAGGAAAAATCCAAAACAGACAAAACAGACACACACTGAAAAATGAGCTAATCCCTGGCCGGGACAGAACAAAGGTGTCTAGGCCGAGTGCTGCCGAAGGCTCTGTCCCACGGCACCCCGGGCAGGAGCGGGGGACCCGGGCACAGCCCCACGCGGGAGCGAGAGCAGGCCTGACAGTGCCCGGGGTGCAGCACGAGCAGGGCTGGACAGTTGGGTTCAACCCATCCAGGGACGGGATTCTCAGCTGGTGAACAAGAGGAAGTGAAACAGTTGGCAGGGGAGAGGGGTGTGTGTGTGTGTGTGTGTGTGTGCACGCGCGAGTACATGCCTGGTGTGGGTCAGGAACTGAAAGATTACTCGAGATGGACGTGCACTGCTAAATTCCACAACACGTAAAAAAAAAAACCAAAACTAAGGCTCGACAGACAAGACGGTCAATCATGAGATGAACTCGCTTCAGATCAAAGGAATATAATTGAGCACTCTGAAAATGACCACAGAATACATTCATGTTCTGAATCTTTGGGTTCCTACGCTTTTTTTAAGCAGTGAGTTTGAAAGATTGAAAGACGGCACAAATCTGTTAGGACTGCCTTAATTGGATGGCAAATGACAGGATTTCTAGTGGGCCCTTGGGGTACATTTCACGGCATGGATGGTGGCCCCTAGATGTTGTGTGGCAGGGGGCAGCAGGGGGTGGGGACGCTGTGGGTTTTAAGACGAAGGGATGGTCTTACTTCACAAGGGAGAGTGGATGCATAGCTGTTTGTAAAGGTGTCACTAATTAGCAGTAATCATCATTAACCACATCATTAACCACATCAAGCTTCTACCTTGATTCTCTCCTAGCCAACCCTTTCCTCAGTGCACTCAAGTAAGTTGCAGGTGAGAATTCTCGCGGAGGGACACAAAGCTGGAATGTGGAACAACCCCCCAAAAAGACAGGCCGAACCAAGCAGGGTGGCATTCTGGACGTACACTCTTCATAAATGCAACTGCACAAGCTGGGCTGGGGGAACCCTGGTTCCCGCGGCTCCCACCTTAGACCCTGAGTCTTTGGACACTAAACCCGATGCGATCTGACAGTCTGCAGCGGTCACTTCGACACAATCTGGACCGCCCTGATTAGGATAAAGACACCACGTCACGGTGTTCTGGCCAGAGCCCAGCTTAATCGGGGGGGGGGGGGGGTTTCATAGGAAGGAAACTTCCAAGTTGCTTGATATTCAAATGCTTCGTCAAGGTTTGCGTAACATGAATGCACCAGGAGGGCATATAAAGTGGTCATCAAGCCGGAATGGGGGATAGCAAATGACACATTAAAATCACAATGCTCTCTTTTGGGCGTGAGCTGAATTCCCATCTCCCCTGATGGGAGAAACTGATGACAGTTTCTCCAAAGCCCGGTGACAAACCGTAGCTTCCCAGCAGGCACGGGCAACGGGTCTGTATTCGGGTAGAACAGGAGCATCGGCGTCTCTGGGCTGATCAGCAAAAACATCTACAAGGAGCAGGCCCTGGGGATCTGGGGGCCGGGACATGATGGTCACGACTGGCTCTCATCTCCTCCCTCTAGGGGACCAGGTTGATGGTACTTCTCCCAAGGCCTCCCTCCACTTTTAGGACGTTCGCACACATCCACCTGGGACAGCTCCGCCAGCCGGGGCTGCGTCTCCTGAAAGATAACAGGAGGATCTTCTTCAACACGGATACCTTCATCTAGAAAGGGAGGGGGAAGTGGGGGAAGACATCAGAGAGGAAGGTCAAGGGGATCGTTCCTTTTGAACCACCGAGGAGACTTGAGGAGAAGCCAGCTGGTAATTGCTGCACAGTTACCACAAACAGACCCAGTATCTGCTTCTCCAGAATATCTTTTTTTTCCATCAAATAGGTACGGAAACACGGAATTAATTCTTCACCCTGCCCGCCAACAGCTTCTCCTGCACTGTTGATTGACAATTAGTCTTTCGGTGTTCCCCAAGAAGGCTCCTTTCTGAGAAGTCAGAGTAGGGAACATGAACTCCTGCCTCTCCTGCCCCGTGCAAGGACACGGAGAGCAGGGTGTTACCCCACCCCACCCGGCAAGGTGCCGTGAAACCATCTACCGGAGTCAGAACAAGGCTTAATTCAGAGATGGTGCCGGTATTTCCTTTTTAGATGCTTCAGCCGTAATAGCTAACGTGGCCTGAAGAGACGCGTATGTGCTGGAAGCAAACACCTTATGCCATTGACTTAACCACTCAAGCACTCTTGGCTCTGTCTGTTTCTATGAGATATCCAGATCGGGTGAACCTATAGAAGCAGAAAGCAGACGAATGGTTGCCAGAGGCTGGGGATGGGGAACTTACAGAGTGACTCTTAACGGGTATGGGGTCCCCCCGTGGGGTGCTAAAAATGTTTGGAACGGAAGTGTGCTGATGGTCGCACGACACCACAAGTGTGGTCCTGGGTCAGCAAATGCTCCTGAGGAGGGACGGGGAAGGTGAGACCAGGTCGGACGAACCAGGTAAAAGTGGGGGGTACGGTGGGGTTGATGGAAGTGTCAGGTGTGGGGGAGGGGCCACTCTGTCGAAAGCATCCTTCCCCAGGTGCCGGCAACCACCCTCAGATTTGCTGGAATCCTGGGGTGAGGCCACCACCGATTTCTTCCGGGCCCGAGGTGTCCAATTTTTCCAGATCTCCTTCACTGGCAACAGATGAACACTCACCCCTGAAGCCACACCCTCCTCAGTTTGCAGACAGCAAAGGAGAATCCGGTGCAGTGATCCAGCCCACATGTGGAGCTCTCAACCAACTCTTCTTGACCCTCCACCATCTAAACCAGGGAGCTCAGCTCTGTCTTCACACTGGAGCCACCTGGGAGCTTACAAGAAGACCCACGGTAACCAGGACCCAGGGAGGGTCTGGACAATGGCATTCGTCAAAAGCTCTAAGTGTGTAGTCAGGACCAGGGACACCTGCTTAAAAATGCAGAGGACAAAGAGAAGCTACGGTTTCTCTTGGGATGAACCAAACCCACCCAAGAACAAAGTCAGCGCAGACCAGAGACAAGCCCAAGATGAAGCATTGTTGGAGGAGAGCATCAGGACTGGAAAGAACGTGTCTGTATGTCCAGCACCAAACCCTGGAGGTTCTGGATGCAAAGGCATACGAAAGCCTCATCTAGCTGGGAATGGACAGGGCAGAATCTCCATGGACGGCACCCTTGCCTTGACATGGGTCTTATATCTGCCTCTACCAGAAGCTTAGAGAGACCAAAACCATAGGTAGATACCATGGTAACTTACTAAACTCATAGTATCCTCCCTAGGTGAGTGCCTAAAACAGCCTTTGGGAAGAAATTAAGACGTCATGGTGAATAGCTGATATCCATGGTATCAATGCTTCTGGAATTTTCTCTAACCTTCCCATACTCTTCCTCCACTGGAAGTGGGGGGGGGGTCCCTTACTCTTCCGGAAACACACCCAGCTGGTCCCTCATCTTGCAGTCAACCAGAACACCCTGTCCTCAGATCTCTGCTGTTTCGCCAGGGTCAAGTCTCTGCCAAAAGGTCATGTCCACAGACGGTGTTCCCCTGGCCGCCCCATCTAAAACAGCCTCTATTCATTTCTAACCTTGCTCCCCAGAGCACCGATCTTGGCCTGATGCTATGGCAGAGTCACATAATGGTTAAATTACGGTAACTGAAATAAGTTAATGAGTTTTGACATCAAGAATAACAAAATGTGACTTTTTTGGGGCATGTTTCTCAACTTCATGGCTACTTCTTGTCCAGATTCAATTTAGAATCATCCCGGTAAGTTTGATTTCAAGCCTGGGGTGTTGATGGAGAAAAGCTCTACGTTTAGAGATGATTTGTATAAAGCCGCCCTCTAGACAACAGGGAGAAAGCATGCTCTACGTCTCAGTCTCGGGCCTTCT